TAAATAAATAAATAAATAAATAAATAAATAAATAAATAAATAAATAAATAAATAAATATTTACACATACACACCAAATGTTTAGTGTACTTAGTAATACCAAGCACTTCTGGTTTTTAAGCAAGAGAACTAGAAATGATCTGTTTTGTTTGGTGTGCTTCTGGGGCTTTCATGGCTTATAAGTCCAAGTGAGATAAGCAGTACTTTGTACAGAGAGTTGCATTTGATACCACTGTGACTGGGACCAGCATTACTGACCCATTTGGCAAAGCTCTCTTCAAATTTTAAACTTTTATTTTTTATTAACTTGTAAGACAGTGGGATTTCATGAGGCTTCTTCATTTATTTTTATTTTATTTTATTTGTTATTCAAGGCAGGGTTTCTCGGTATAGCTTTGCGCCTCTCCTGGAACTCATTCTATATCCCAGGCGGGCGTTGAACTCACAGAGATCCACCTGTCTCTGCCTCCTAAGTGCTGGAATTAAAGGCATGCACCACCACCACCTGTTCTATGAGACTTCTTCATAAATTCATCATTTTGGTTAACATATTCCTCCTCATTTTTTCATATGTGATCCGCAGTTGAACATCTAGAACACATTATTCAATTACCCATACATTATAACACTTGTGTGTTATAATATCCTATCTTATTGCATTTTTTACATGGGTTGCAAAATAATATTCCCATGGAGCTTCTTCTTGGACATCCCATTTGAATGGACCTTATAGAAGCCCCCTCTTCTCCATAACTGCAACACATATTTGGAATATTCTGCCCAATTTCCTATTTCATATCACCTATATTCTCTAATATAGGTGATATGAAATAGGAAATTGGGCAGAATATCTATATCTCTAATATTGCTACCTTTATGAATCATAATGTAAATACCTAATATGCATGCTATGTGATATGTGATGCCAAACGTGTCCTGGTTAAAGAGTTGGGTGTCACTGCTCTCATAGAAGGTAAAATATTTCTTCCTGCAGAGAATACCCAGAAGCTCAGAAATAGACAATAGCTTTAAGAAGTCACAGAAATTGGTAAGATTCACTAGTGCCCTCGTGCCTCAACCATATATAATCACTAAGGACTACTGACACTGTCACAGAAGCTGAAATCCAAAGAAGATGCTTAGACCAGCCATGAAGCAGACACCAGTCAAGGTGCCTGGATGA